TGTTGGCGCCACCGAGAGAGATTTGCTAAGCTCTCCTGGCGCCACCTCACTGCCGTCGCGAAACACGTCGCCTACAATGTGACTATGATATGAAAGTCGCCACTGCAAAAAAAATAACAATAAAAAAATACTGCATTAATTATGATGCAGTTTTAATTTTGGCCTATAAATCGACAGTTTCATTGAAATAACACTGTCCAATAGAGGATAGCGAAAATAAAAAAGGATTTGAGATTACTTGATACTATAGAGATACTTGATATTAGTGAAGGGTTTAGTCCCGGCCAGTTATCATTCTAAGCCAAAATCGCATCAAATTGCACAAGTCATGAAACTTTGCAGCGTAAAACAGATTTTCAAAAAAACATCAGATACAAAGACTAAATTATCGATTTTCACTTTTTGATGGTTTTTGCCGATTTTTCCCAGAGGAGCTAATGCACAACTTTGAACGCGCTGCACGATCGGAAGATATTGTCCGATTTCAAAATAAAAAATTCCACTGGATTCTACATGTTGAAAGACAACTTTTTCACATACCCGCCATTCCAATATCTCAAATCCTTTTTTTTTTTTTCGCTATCCTCTACCGTCCAATAAGTGGGTGGGCTTCAGCAGGGGCACGAGCAGCTGGACCCCCCCCCCCCCTCATCCCCCCGAGTTACCTCGCAAAGACACTAAAATAGAAAGACCACGATGTGGTGAGTCACAAGAGATAAGGAAAAGAAAGAAAAATGTCACGGGTCCACTGTGTGTGCCGCCGTGTTCGCCGAGGTGCACAGCACACCGCGGTGCAGTGCGGTGCAGGATCACAGCCAGCCGCGCGCGGCCGCGGCCCCAGCATGCTCGGCGACGAGGAGCAGCGGCAGCGCGGCAGGCTCGGCGCTCTCGACGTCCGCCAGGACGGCGTCGACACCTGGAGCAGCGCGAGCAGCGCGAGCAGCGCCGGCGGCACCGAGGCCGCGGACCTGCGGACCCTGTCGACGTCGTCCTTCGGCAACATCGCGGTGGAGGGCTCGTCCGGGGTGCTCATCGGCGGCACGACGCACCTGCACCAGGCCATCACCCTGGTCGTGCCCGCCGACACCCCCCCGCCGCCGCCGCCGGCCGTCGCCGTCCGGGACCCGCAACTCCCAGACCTTCTGCCGCACGCTGCGCGCGGCCGCCAGAAGCACCTCCCCGTCGACACGCAGCCGGACGGTTCGACGGCGTGCTCGAGGCGGCCGTCCTGCCCTGCTTCAGGTCTCCGTTCGAACGGGCGCCGGATTAGACTTGCGGTGTGCGCTGCGCTTGCCGTCGCGATCCTGTGTTTCCTCCTTTCCCTTTACCTCATTCTCCCAAACTGTAAGTATAGTAGTGCAACCGGAAGTCCCTGTTGTCCCACTACCGGTGCGTGAGCCCCCCTTCCGGTTCGCAGGCTACGAGTGGGTCCCTTACCCCGACGACGGCGCCCTGCCCGGCTGCGCGCTCGCGGGCGGCCGCGGCGTCTCGGGCGAGGCCCTGTTCATCGCCAGGGCGTACATCAACAACAAGTACCGCGACTACGTGCCGGGCAAGGTGGTGCCGAGCGCAGGGGGCGCCTGGGCCGCCTGCTTCACCTGGAACGGCAGGGAGGACTGCAGGAACAGCTCCTTCCAAGTACAAGGCTGAATGATGTTTATCCCAAAACGTAAAGGGTACTTCACTCCCCCCCCCCCCATGAAAAAAATAAAAAATAAAAAAAATCAGTGCACACACACTATAATACACCCAGAAAAATAGTTTCTTGATTCAAGTGCAAGCTGACACAAGATGAAATTCACCATTGAAACAAGGCAATATTGTCTTTGAAATAAGATTTTCCTCTTATTCGAAAGAAAATATCAGCTTTGTTTCAAGAGTAAATTTGATCTTGTGTCAGCGTGCACTTGAAACAAGGAAAAATTTACTTGAAACAAGAAACGATTTTTCTGGGTGCACAGTATTCAGAATTTTTTTTAGCAAAAATCAAGTAAAAAAGATAAAATCCAACCTTCTTTTAAAATAAAAAATTTAAGAAAAATTTGTGCACCCAGAAAAATTGTTTCTTGATTCAAGTAAATTTTTCTTGTTCCAAGTGACGCTGACACAAGATGAAATTTACCATTGAAACAAGGCAATATTGCTTTTGGAATAAGATTTTTGTCTTATTCGAAAGAAAATATCAGCTGCTTGATTCAAGAGTAAATTTGATGTTGTGTCAGCGTCACTTGAAACAAGAAAAATTTACTTGAATCAAGGAACAATTTTTCTGGGCGTGTATACGCTTGAATTTATAGTGAAGTACCCCTCGATCGAAATCAGTAGTCCGCAGCGATCCACACCTCACGCCCAAGCCCATTTTTGGTGTGCCCTTGTTCGAGGTGCTGTGCGCCGACTCCCGGCTCGGCGAGTGGGTGGACTGCGCCGGCGGCAACGTGACTGACCACGCGGTGTACTCCGGCGGCGCCAGCGACTCCGAGCGCCTGTACGTCTGCAGAGTGCGGGACAGGGGGGCCGTGACCCCGGGCAAGCTGCACCCGTCCAAGGGAGGCTGCTACGTGGCGCTCGAAGGGGCGGAGGTGCGCTACCCTACGTACCAGGTGCTAGATCACTGCGAAACGCTTCTCTGCGTATTAGGGAAGATTCTCAAACGTTCGAATTACGGACGCTGCCAGAACGCACCCAGAAAACAGCATTCTTAGGCTTGGTTCATTCAAGCCGATTTTCTTAATTCAACTTTTATTTCTTAATTCGAAGAAAAAATTTCCTTGATTCAAGAAAATCGGCTTGAATAAACCAAGAATAGCGAAAACAAACCGAAATTTGCCTTGAGTAAAGAATTCATTTTTCTGAGTGCGCCACGCCACATTCATTTCGTAGATTTACGTCAGCTAGGCTAGGGTCACCCCTCCCTAAAACCGCATTAAATATCGGGTTGCAAAAATAGTTCATTTTTATTAAAAATCCACTTTAAAAAATATATACACAGATTTAGAATGTTCACAATAAATGTAGTTAAAATAGCAAAGAGGGCATGCGGCGTTTCATTTCGGTAGATTCCTCCAGAATTCGAAAAAACAAATTAAAAAAAATCTCTGAGTTTTACAATACGGCGGTATAGGAGTGGATAAAGAAACGACTGCATCCGAAAATCGCCTTGTCGCAAGAAAGCACATACTTTTAAGGTTAGCCTCCTGCGTGGCCGCCATGCTCGTAAGGCAACTTCATCGAGCGAATTTCTCGTCGCATACGTGTAACTGCACGAACGACGGTTCACTCAAAAATGTATGGGTTTCCTGATGCGCGTATAAGTTCATTACAGCTACATGCGCAGACTGCTTGCCGCACTCAGTGCACTCGAAGATCTTTCTTCCCTGCGTGGGTGAGTGAATGTCTCTTCAAATCACCGCTGTCCACAAATGTCTTGCCGCACACTGGACACTCGAAGGGCCTCTCTCCCGTGTGGTGGCGGCGGAGGTGTGATCGCAACGCGGACGAGTGCGAAAATGTGTCCTGACAGACAGAACACTGGAACGGCTTTTCCCCGGTGTGCGTACGAAGGTGTGAACGCAAGTCTCCGTCCGTCCAAAATGTCTTATTGCACACCTTACATTTAACTTGCTTTCCTGCGGAGTCTGTGTGGACTCTGAGAACGTGTCCTTTCAGGCCCGAGGAATGCGCAAATCTTTTGTTGCAAACAGAACACTCGAAAGGTTTCTCTCCGGTGTGAGTTCGGAGATGTGTATTGAGACCCGACAAGTTCGTAAAGGTCTTGAGGCAGACGCTGCACTCGAAGGGCTTCTCTCCAGTGTGGGTGCGGAGGTGAACGGCTAGAGCGCCAGGCGCCGAACACTTGTAGTCGCACTCGGTGCACTCATAAAGCTTTTCTCCCGTGTGCGATCGCTGATGTGTGCGCAAATGACTGCTTTGCGAAAACTTTTTGTTGCACACGACACACTCGAACGGCTTCTCCCCAGTGTGGGTTCGGAGATGAATTTTCAGTGTAGCATTTGCACCAAATCTCTTTTTGCACACACCGCATTCGAAGGGCTTCTCTCCTGTGTGGGTGCGCATGTGAGCGCTAAGATTACTACTGGTCTGAAACTTCTTGTTGCATACAGAGCATTCGTGTTTATAATGCTGTTCTCCCGTGTGGGTGCGAAGGTGAGCACGCAGATGGACAGGTCGCGCAAACTTCTTGCCGCACAACGCACACTCCAAAGTCCTCTCTCTTACACCTGTATGGCCGCGCAGGTGCGCTCGTAGACTGTTAGCGGACACAAACTTCTGGTCGCAGAGCGTACACTCAAAGCACTTCTCTGCTGTGTGAGTAAGACTGTGTAAGCGGAGCGTGCGTTTCTCTGCAAATTTCTTGTTGCACAAAGAACACTCGAAGGGCCTGTCTCCAGTGTGAATACGACGGATATGAATTCTCATACCGTCGCTAGTGGTACATTTTTTCTCACAGAAAGTACACTCGTAAGGCTTCTCTCCCGTGTGGGTACGTTCATGTTGTCGAAGATGCCCAGTCCTGTTAAAACTCTTGCCGCAGACACCGCACTGAAATGGCTTCTCTCCTGTGTGGGTTCGGAGGTGAACTCGCAATTTCCAGCTATCACTAAGTTTCGTGTTGCACACAGAGCACTCGTAGGGCTTTTCTCCTGTGTGGGTTCTGAGATGCGCGCGCAGGTTTCCACTAACCCTGAATTTCTTGTCGCACTGCGTACAGCCGAAGGGCCTCTCCCCGGTGTGGGAGCGGAGGTGTGACTTGAGACTTCCACTCGTGGCGCACCTGTAGTCGCACACGTTGCACCCGTAAGGCTTCTCTCCGGTGTGGCTCCGGCTGTGGCTGGCCAGGGCACCTCTCTGAGGAAATTTCTTGCTGCATACGGTGCATTCATAGGGCTTTTCTCCCGTGTGAATGCGCACGTGCTTTTGCAGATCGCCGCTTTGCGAAAACTTCTTATCACACACAGTGCAGTCGAAGGGCTTCTCTCCCGTGTGGGTCCTCAAGTGGATGGCGAGTGATTGATTGGTAGCAAGTTTCTTGCCACAAACATCGCATTGGATCGGCATGCTGTACACGACAGTGGAGTCTGTGAAGGGGAAAAAACATAATTTGCGTTAAGTAACTACTTTCAAGCTCGCGTTTTTGTCATTTCTTAATATGATGTAACAACAAATAAGCAGGAAAGGCAAATAATAGCGAAAAGTGCATTCTGGGAGGGGTGGGGGGAAAGAGAGAGAGGGAGAGAGAAAGAGCGATAGAGAGGGCAGAGAGAGAGAGAGAGAGAGAAGGGGTGCTAACGCCTGGCAGTTAGGCAAAGTCCTGCCTGAAATGCAGCCGCACGAGGCGGGTGGCCTACCCTACGACCGACAGGGGTTCAGCCCGTCCGTCAGAGGGACTGATGCGAGAAGGAGAGAGAGAAAGAGCGATAGTGGGGTCAGAGGGAGGGAGAAAGAGAAGGGGGGAGGGCAGAGCCGCGAGGCAAAATAAGTATAACAATTCATGAAAAGTCGCCGGGCGAGCTCTCTGTGGAGACAAACCTCAATCTCGCCGCAAAGACAACGAAAACGACAAAAAGGCAGAGCGCTTCCGAGCGGCTTCGTTGGTCTGGACAGGGGACAGGCTGCAGAGTGGCGACTTCCTCTGTCTCCCCCTCCCCACACCTTCCACCGCTCGCCCCCTCTCACCCCCTACAAACACGGCCCCAGGGGACCATACACAAGGAAGGTCTGCTGTTAAAGGTCGGCTGTGACACTTTTTAAACATGATGATGCTATCCTGACCTGCCACTTCACTTATTGGGGTGGAAGCAGGTTTACACTAGAGCCGCGAAAACGCATGCGCTATAACAACGGTTTCAGCAGAGAGACAGTAACTCAAGCGTACAAAAAAAATTTCTTTTTTTTTTCCTTGTCGTTAATTTCGAATTTTTCGAAAAAAAGAGTTGTTTTTTTTCGATTTATATTGATTTTTT